ATATCCAAGCGCGTACGGATGGTGAAGCTGGCGTATCCTGTGGTAACTTTGCATGATGTTAGCCAGACTCCTTGGACAAGATCGTCAAACTTGAGTAGCAGAAAGAAGGAAATCAGAAATTAGAACCGTATCCACATAATGTAATTGAGATAGGGATAACTGTATAAAAATTGTCTTGGTCATCATTTTGGGAGGGGCTGAGGTAAAGAAAATAGTCAGTCACATACCTATTCTTCTGGGTCCGGCCAGATCACTGCTTGGAGAGGCGTGCAGCTTTGAACTTGCTGATGCGCTGACCACCGTCAGCTTCGTCAAGAGGCCGGACCACGGAGGTATCCTCTTGGAGGAAGCCGCCCTGTTTCTGGATGAAGTTCCGCCGTTGTCGATGATACTCGTCGGCGAGATCCTGATCGATGAAGTCCTCGTCAAAAGCGTTCTCGTCCTGAGGCTTGCTCTCCTTCTCGACGACCGCGTCTGCCAGTGTCTTCCCCTCAGGTCCTGTAGGGGCTGTGGGCCTGTCCTGGTCGATGAAACGTGACGGCACATCGCGCGGGCCCATCGGAACGAAGCCATCATCAACGACCGTCGGCGCTGCCTTCTGCTTCTTGAAGCGAGACGCCTTGCGGGTTGACTTGATCTCCGCTTGCTTGGCGGGGCCGGTACGCTCCACAATGTCGCTGAGAGGCTCCACGATGGGCTCTGGCGGTGGTTGATGAACAGTCGACGGCGCGGCAGCGGTTTCGGCAACGCTGTCTGGGGCGACGTCTAGACTCTGTGCGAAGCGGACGCTCTTCTTGCTCTCGTCCGCGTCCGTTGGGGAAGAGGTCCTCAGGATGGACGTCGTAGGCACAGGTGACGGCTTGGCAACTTCGGCCGCCTTGCCCTTGTCACCTGAGTTGACGATGATGCGACCAATGCCTTGTTGGTCTTCGTCTGACTCCTGGTCATCTGCTTCTGACTTCTGAGTAAAGCGAGACTTGACCCCGAGTCGCTTCTCGAGCTCCAACATCCGCTGATGGTACCCGTCGTCCAAGACGCTGGAAGTAGACCGACCAAACTTGTCTTCTTCATCGTCGTCCTCGAGGTCAGAGTACTCATACTCCCAGTCCTCGTCATCGTCGGCAGAGCCATCGCCATCCTCAAGGTTGAGTTCAGCTACGACTTGGCCCACCTCTTCCATACCGTACTTCAGCATCTCTCGGCGGAGGAAGGCATCTTCCTCAGACTCGTCTTCGGGAATGACGGGCGCTTCGCGGCTGATGTTTTCCTGGCTCCTGGCGGTCTGCATGATCTCTTCGACTCGTTGAGCGTTCCTCGACACCTGCTGCTCTGCCGAGGGCTTGGTGTCTTCGGCGAATGAGACGGACTTCTTGGCTGCCACAGAGTCGCCAACCTTTGCTTCGGGAACCGACTCCTTTACAGACTGCGCGGGATCCCGGGCTAATGATGTTGACTCGGATGCCTTAGCCAGAGGCTCATCGGTAACGTCTTTCACGATGGGTTCTGTCTTCTCCGTCTGCGAGGGTTGGCCGGCCGGGATGTCCTTGACGCCTGCCTTCTCCAGGATCTCCCTGATCTGAGCGCTCGAGTCGCCAGGCTGCTGCAGTCGGCTAGAGAGCACATTTCCCTCTTCGTCGAGCTCCTCGATGATCTCCGTTATAGGCAAGCCATCCTCATCCCGCACATCAGGGTTGCTGAGAACGCTGGCGGCAGCGTGCTTCTCTTCCGCAGTCTCGAGCTGCTTCTCAAGAGTGGCGATGTTCTTGGAAACATAGTCGATGCGACGCGAAAGCAGGTTGACAATCTGGTCGGCAGGCTTCAGATCAATGCGCCCAAAAAGGTCGTTGATCTCTTTCTTGTCGACAACCTCGCCCTCGAAGTCTCTGCGAATGCGCGCAAGAGCCTCCCGACTGGCGGGCTGGGGAACCGACTCGATTTCCTCTCTCAAGGACTCGTACTCAGCATCCCAGTTTTGCCAGTGCTGCAAAGCATTCTGCAGCTTAGCAACAGAGTCTTCGAGTTGCAAGCGATGCTTTTCCAAGTCCAGGAAACTGTCTCTGACTGCTGCCATGGTAAAGGAAAAAGAAGGGAAGAGAAGCGAAGGTGAGAAGTTCTTGGAAGCAAGATGAGGAAAAGGAAAAAAATTCCCTGTCGGAAGGTAGGGGTTCGGAGCTCAAGGAAAATTAGGTAATCTGCTAAAGTGTAGGTTGTTACGTAAGTCCCACTTAGCTCTTAAGCAACACGCCCATGCACCCACAACTTGTAAGGTACCTACCTACCTACTCTGAATGGGGGCCTCACCTCCCCTACAAAAGGCGACACTGAGGTGCAGCTTTCACTGCTACCCATCGATACTCGGCGGTGATGAACACCTCACGATTCCCTAACAAATTCAATTTTATGAAATCAAAACGCTCGGCTGTAGAAGAACCTCGCCTCTAGTCATACCGTGAACGCGCTAAAAGCTCGAGATTGAGATCAAAACGGTTCATACTTTCGTTCTCACCTGCTTGAGCCATTCATGATGAGTGGACGGATTTGCGCCTGCGGAATTCAGGAACTAAGGTGAAGAAAATGCATGACATCAAGCACTTTGACAATCAGCATTTCGTTTCATATCGGAGGTTTTTATATTCCGACTCAGGATGCTACAATCTAGGCCTAATACAGATCATGTACTTTCCCGCTTTTAGATGAAGGACCGTGAAATGAACAAGTTCATGAGACTGATCGGGGATTAAAGACAGGTCGTACCGCCGAAGTAGAGACACAAGCGTGAGCCGCAGCTCCGTCCACGCAAATCTGCTCACTTTATTAGTACCTACCAGGTTCAGAATGAGAGCCATCGGGCGACTTACTGTTTTCCAATACAGTTCCGCGATCCCGCAGAAAAGGGGTAGTATGCCGTTCTCTCACTGGCGGCCATGCCCTTGTAGTCAGACAGCCATCTCTCGGGGACAAATTTCTCTGCGTCAGGCCACTGCTTCTCGTCCCAGTGCAGTACGGTGGTGTTTGCAGTCACTCTAGTCTGTTGGATGTTAGTGAAGCTTCAGCAAAGATGACGTTGACTTGAGTGTCTCGCAGGAAAGGCGGCTTACCCCAGCTGGGATCAAGTGATCAGACAGAATCACATCTTCGTCAGTCTGCCTCTGAAGTCCTAGCCAAATGTCAGCAAATCACACTTTCGGGCTTTAGAGAGAATGAGGAATCCTACCACCGGTTGCCGGAGGAGCAAGCCTCATCGTCTCTTTCAAAACAGCGTGCAAAAACGGCAAATCCGTCGTTTGGTCGTCCGAAACCGGTGAGTCCGACAAAGGAAACCTCGTACGGATCTCGTTGACAAGTCTTTGGTAGGAAGGGGGGTCATTGAGCAAGAACATCATTGCAAAAGTGAGCGTGCTGGCGGTCGTCTCGCTGCCTGCCAGCCAGAAGACTAGCATCTCGGAAAACACCTCGATGCGCGACAGAGTCTCTGGATTCTTTTCGTGCGTGTCTAGTAGGAGCTGTAGCAGGTCAGGTTTGGCCAGCTTGTCGGTCGACGCTTGCCTCTTTTCAATGATATCACTGATGAGTTGAGCAAGCTCGGGATCCCGGAACTTAGGTAGGAAGGGGATATACTTCAAGAAGGGCAGGAGTTGATACTTTTATCGCCAAACGTTAGTTATTTCGTCTGGCCACCAATTGTAGTGATACTTACAATGGTTCCCCTCTTAAAACTCTCAGAAAACTTCTTGCGAATAGGATGCTCCCCATTCTTCACCAACTCAAAGGAGCCCCCGAACGCAGTCGCGCTCATAATGTCGGACGCCAGGCGGCCCATAAGGTTCCAAGCATCAATCACGGTCTCGCCTCCATCCTGAGTGCACTGTTTGTCGATGAACTCCTCGAGCGCCTCGATACAACTCAGCTTCAGCGGTTCGAGGCCCTTGAGGTAACTGATGGAGAAACCGTGCGAGAAGAGTCTTCTACGAGTGCGGTACTGCGCCCGATCTCGCATGGTGAAGAGCGTCACGCCGTCTTCGTTTTGACTGAACTTTTCGTAAAGGACGCTCTTTCGGAGATCCATTTCTACCAATATTTGGTGGACGGACTTTTCGTCGGATACGAGGACAAGATCGGGAGCTATTTTTAGGGAAGCGTCAACAAAAATCATCATGTTCAGGGGAAGCGTATGATACTCACCGACTCGAACGATGTCGCCGTACTTGCGGTTGTAGTTGATTCCTTGCTCAAACGCCTTGCCTCTGACGACTGCCGCCATCCAGGGCAAAGCCGTGAACCTATTGAGCCTCGGCCCAGGTATCTTGGCCAAGGGCCCTGTGAAGCCAAACCATAGTGCCTTAAGGACCTTTGAAGCCCCATAGGCAAGCATGAAAACAAAACATGCTGATACTAGAGTCTTCAAATCCGGGTTACCCAATCGCACGACAACCAACTCATTTGAGATCCCCATGGTGATGGCGAGTTGACTTGTTAGGTAGCCGGCGTTGATGTGAAGGAATATCGACAATCTTTCCCTCTTAAGTGACTTTTCGAGGCCAATACTGACTTTGCTCAGTAATCCATGAAAGTTGTTTGAATGAGTTTCCGTAAAGTTTGCGGTTTTCCATCCCAAATACTTATCATAAGGTTGCTATTAAAAGGCCGGATTTGCTCGTGGCTGTAGCTTTCCGCCCCCGCTCCAGACCGGAGGTTCAACATAAGCTGGAATGTCTACATCCGTGTAAGACAAGGCCCAAAGCAGAGCCGATTTATCGATCTGCAGGCATCCTTCGTGGCGTAGACTCGGTAAACACTTGGTTTAGCATCGATAAGCACTAAGATCTGGCTACCATTTTTTCTTCCTTCTTTTTGTATATGAAGTCATCTCGAAGAAGCTCACGAATTGGACAAATCTGACAGCCCCGATCAGTAAATTGTGTATACTCATTCCGTTGACGCCGTGTCTTTTCTGTAATCGCATCACCTTGCAGATCACGCTGTCGAGCCAAGTATCTAATTCAATTAACGTCGTACACGATACCCGAGACAAATCTTAAGATGCCTAAATCGAGTCGCCGAGCATACTTCGCGCCTATAAAGCAGGCTGTACCACCGACCGCCAATGCAGGAATGGAGACGAGCCACAGGTCCCAGTTCCTGGCCTTCCACACTGACATCCGCATGTCTGCCGTCTGAAGGTGCATCGGTCGCTGGGCTTTCCCACCTAATGAGCGCAACTCGTGATCAAAGATGACTTCCTCGATCATGTCAGCGGCGAGTTTCTTGCGCCGGGATGCTACGCGCGCTATCCTCTTCATACGCTCAACGTTCCTGCCAAAGGACCCGTCATCGTCTGAGACAATACGGCCAATCTTGCCTGCAATCTCGGTGGCGGTGAAGTCAAACTTTTCCATGGCGAGACCGACGCCTGCTTCGACGAGACAGGCGCTGTTAGCGAGCTGGTCGAAGAAGAAGCCTAGAATCAAGGTAGGAGTTCCGTGGAATAGGGTCTCGTTTGCGCTGGAACCGCCTCCGTGAGTGAGATAGAGCTTGGTGTTGGGATGATCGAGAATAGCTCGCTGAGGTGCGAAACAGGGGACTCGAATATCGGGGTGCTTCTCATCGAGAATCTCACCAACTGAGATCCTTCCATCATCAGTTCGCTCCGCATGTGCTGATCTAACCAAATTCTGCCTCGCTGACTTCCCGATAGACCATATGACGCCGTTGACACGCCCTGCGTCTAGAGCCATGACAAGACCGCTGAGTATCTTCATGAGCTCTACTTGTGGGAGTGAAATATGAGTACCTAGAGCGACATATACCGTCTTGTCATGAGAGACTTCAGAAATGCTTGGTAACTTCCATCGAGCGGAGAATCCTCATCCCCCAAGATCGGTCCGACCACTTGCATAAGAGGAGGCAAGTCTTTGGCCGGCTCAAGTCCAAAGAACGAGTTGACAAACACAAGATAGTTCGGTTTAGGCGCCATTGGAATCAAATGCCGCACGCCGTTTCGTTTCCGCATCTCCCGTGTCCAGCGAGTCCATGCAAAAATATGCGGCAGCGCCCAGGACAAGACCATCTCGTTCCTAATACGCGACCATATTGAAGCCTGCTCCGACGTGGGCGTGAACTCAACCTGAAAGCCGGCTGGTCGGGGATATAGCTCACAGGCGCCAGGAGATACGGCATCTGCGGCCACCAGACCGCAATGGGAACGCCAAACTCAACCATCATATCCTTGGCCGCTGCCTCGACGAAGAAATCTGCAATGATCATGTCGGGCTTGGCGTCTGAGTCGAGCATGAGTTCGCGCAAATGGAACCAGGTGTCGGGCCAGTAAGAGTCGAAGAGAAACTTGGATTTCATGATAGGCCCAACGCCGTCGCTGGGCCGCCATTGGATCATGCGCGCGTAGTGTGCTTCGGCGTCGGTGTTTGGTATGGCTGGACCGAAGCTGTGGACGCAGGTGATGGATGGATAGTCTGACGCCCAGTGCTCCTGACCGGAGTTGGTTCCAAAGTGGACTTCATGGCCGCGGGCTGCGAAGACGGCGCCGAGCTCGAGGATTGGCGCGGCGTGGGTGACGCCCCCGACAGTCGAGCATAGGAAGATGCGCAGCTTGGGAGAAGAGTTTGGGTCTGGCATGACTGTGAGTGTTATTTTCGATCAGATTTCGAGCAATTCATGATTTACATGAATGAATTCAGCTCCTGGAAGACAAAGCACTTCCCTTTGCCGTCCCGAGGGAGTTTCCGGAAAGTGGGCTGATTGTTGATGAGGTTGAGGTCATTGTGCCGCAACCCTCTGGCAACACTCTTCCCGCATTGTTATCGCTAGACCGACATGGAAAAAGAAAGCCATACGAGCAGTAGTCAAGGCACAGTTCAAACTCAGTCCAAATAAAGTGTTACTAGCCCCATGACCAAAGTAAAGGCTGATACAGTAGATAGCGAGCCATCATTTCAGGCGGTACGTTCTCCCAACATTTGAGAACTAGAAGGAGTGCACCCAATTGTCGATTCCAGGTAAAAGTGGTCCGACTGCTGATGACACCCATTCAGGCAAAGAAAAAGGAAACATGACTGTGAAACGATTCTACAGTTCAGCCCAGTGGTTGTGACTTATAACCGGCTTTGGTCAACCGCTGCGCCTCAGCTGGCACCGGCGATGTGCTCCTCTGGCCGAAATGGAAATTCCTTCTGGTACATTTCGCTATCGTGCTGTATTTGCATCCTCGATTGAAACTTTGCCTGAAAGTTTAACAGCATTTTCCAGCGTCATCTCTCTCTTGACATAGCATCCGTTGGCTGCCGGAAGTTGAGCTCTGTAAGTAGTCTCCGAATACGGACGGTACTCTCTCCAGGCAGCAGTCTCCAATGCGAACCGAGTCGACGTCATCCGCGTCAATCACTCACTTCTCTGTTTAACATGAATGTACTGCTGATCCGGAGATGACGAGAGCCCACATATTCTCACTGAGACAAAACTATAGGCTTGGAGTCGATGGTGAGTTTTGATTGACTACTAAAGCAGGTATTTGGTGCACGACGTCGACTACCGCTAGTATTTTCCAAGCACTTCGTCCAACTTTGACCATGAATGGACTGTGAACAGCAGATAATTGAGCAACTCGACGGCATGAGAATCCTATCCAAGAGATCAAGGACAGCATTCGTCGTCTCAACCTCCCTTCAGAAATTCGACCATGCCAATACCGGACCCGAATTAGCGACAGGAGAATCATATTTCCCAAGTATCTGGTATACAGACACTTCTCCGCTGGCCGATTTGAAGTAGACTTTGGTGAATTCTTGGTAGAGTCTTGACCAGAGTACCGAACCCAACACCTCTGTGACCCTGAATGAAACGGGGCCTCTTCACATCTGACGGCGTTTGTGAGTAGGGCCATGCGCTGCATTGCAACCAGGCTTCGCCTCAACTCCCGCTTCCGTCTCGTCTTTCTCCCGCTTCAAGCCTCTTGCACGATCTATGACGACTAGCTGGCCAGGCGGACTCGCGGTGAATGTCTGCTGGAGTTCAGGTTGTTTGATACCAAGATGTGAAGGCATCTGTATTTGGCCGCTTACCCGTGGGTGTTGAGATTCAGCTCCCTCGGTAAGGCTGCCGAAGGTGAAGGAAGCCCGTTTCTCAAGTTGGTCATGTCAGATTGTGAGTTTCCGGAGATGACCTGGCCTTGAGCCTGCTGCGCAGACGAGAGTCCCGTATTTGAGGGCACTAGACTGCTCTCCTGGGGCAACATCTGTGTCGATTGGGTTCGTTGGGGGGGCTCTTTCCTCCAGAACTGACAGCCTGCTTGCGTCCAAGTTACGCCCATTACCTGTGGACATCCCAGGAAATGTTGCGGCCATTTGTACCGATCACCTCCAACTTCATAAGAGAGTATGCCAAGACCCAAGTACAGGGCTCTGTTACCACCGGTTATGCCATACTTGGCTTCCGCCATCTCCTGGAACTCGCGAACTAGTCTTGGAGTGTACGCCTCGAATCCAGGTGCCTGGGAGACATTTTGCTGCTGGCACCAATCCCCTAGTCGAGCGGTTTCAAGGCGTGTGAGAAGCATTATCAGCTTCGGACTGTCTTCCCATGGCGATACGGTCTTCTCTTTCCACGCAAAATGCTTGAGATACTCCTCATTTACCCAATGACAGAGGAATGTGTCCGGGTTGGATGGCTGAATAATGTCGGCGAAGCACTTCGCCACAGCGATATCGGTAAGCATTATTTTTCGTGGGCAGGCGAGGAAGACGTAGTGCTTGGGTTCTGCAAATGCATCCCGAATCTGGATCTCGTTGAGAAATTCCATGCTGGTTTTCGAATAGGTCGGTCTTGATTCCGTATTTGCTGGGTTTGTTTGATAAGAAAAAATAGTATTTAACTCAAGTATTGGCGCCTTCGCTGTATTTCCCACGAATATCACGGCTTTTCGATTGCGATTCTGGAGTATCTGACACGAAGCATTGCGAGAAAGATGATTGTTAACCACTGCGCAGTGCTTTCTCCGGTATCTCTACAAATTTTCATGTCCCAATGATATTGGAGATACATTTCTCGGACATTGCTTCTAAGGTAGCGAAGGTTCATCTCCGAAGAGCTAGCTAGCTATTTCGACCTCATAACGGTGGTCATCACCTTGAGGTCTCTATGCCATTGACTGGCGAACCGAGAGTCACAATTCGCCAGCGCGTTGTGTAGCAAAAAAAGAAAAGCGAGTTCCAAGGCAGCCGCCAGGCTCCAGATTCATAGTCTTTACAGGAAGCCTATGACACCTTCTGCAAGACCTATATCTCATCTCATAGAATGCTGTCATTTTTCTGCGTCAACACTCAATTAGAAGTTAGTTATTGTATTTAAGAAACTATGAGTAGCTCGGGGAGAAAGCCTACAAGCCGGTAAATCCGGCAACTCATACTCATGTCCAAGAAGAAGAATCCCTGGCCAGCTAGAAGCCCCAATGGTTTGCTGCAAGGCGATGGAGCTCACAAGGGGAATTTCAGCGACTATTTTATCCAACCAGTATCCATGGACGCAGCACATTTAGGTCTTAACGTGAAGTCGCGACAAGCAATTCACTTACACGCGGCCGGGCGCTTCCTCGGCGATCGACAACCCCATGGGACGATGTGAGCTTGAAGAGCCGCGCCGTCTGCGTAAACTCCGCAAGACTCCGCACATTTCCCCAACTTCTGGCGCCATTCCGTCACCACATTCACCAACATTCCACCACGTTAGCTTCCTCTCCCATCCCACATCAACCGCTTCGCGATTAAGTTCGCACAAACTCGGGCCCGACGGCCAACCGTAGCTTCTACTCTTTACCCCAGAGAACGATCTTTCCTCGGGGCTAACCGTCATTCCATCTCTCTTCCCCATCTTTGCCCCCCGGCATTCTTCTCTCCCCTCCGCATTAGTCTGTGCGGGGAAGCTTAAGCTACACCGCAGTCTGGCCGACGATTTTCTTCTCACCATGATGATTCGTTTTCTTTCTTCCTGTAAGACCAATTGAAGCAGGTATTCGTTTGGTAATCAATTGACTGCGACTGTAACGCTACACCACTCTCACTTTGACTAGAAAAATGACGCTCAACAACCGGATAGACTGGGGAGCATGGAGGGGTATAAGAACGGCGGCGAACGTCTTGGTCTCGACGACTTCACTATGCTGGATCGCCGCCTTCCTCATCTTCTCTCAGTGCCTCTGGATGCTCTACACCCGTCGCTCAAAGCAGTACCCGAGCGAGAAAGGAGAGAAAAGACACGACACACAGCGTAAAAACCGCAACATGTTCAGCCGCGTGCCCTTCCTCTTGTCGGCAGTCGCCATCATGGCGCTCTGCGCGATGGCGAGGGTCGCGGAATTCGGCCAGCCGCTTGCACGGCAGTACCTGGCCTCGACAACGATCAGCAGCGGCCACTCGCAGTTCACCGTCCCCGCGTCGGCAGACGAGGGAGCGCATCTCATTCCCAACATTGAGGACCCGGAGGCCAAGGACCCGCAGAGCGTATGCCCGGGATACACGGCCTCCAACGTCCAGACGACATCGCACGGATTCACCGCCAATCTCGATCTCGCCGGCTCAGCTTGCAACTTGTACGGGAACGACGTTGAGGCTTTGACGCTCGTTGTCGACTACCTGGCGACGGACCGTCTTCACGTACAGGTGCTGCCGCGGTACCTGGGCGCTGAGAATAACACTTGGTTCATTCTTCCTGAAGAGTTCGTCCCGAAACCCGCTGCAGACGGGAAGGCGAGCTCTGATGGCTCAGACAGCGATTTGGAGTTCAAGTGGGCAAACGAGCCCACTTTCGGCTTCAACGTGTCCAGGAAGAGTACTGGAGATGTTTTGTTCACGACCACGGGGACTAAGCTTGTGTTTGAAGACCAATTCTTCGAGTTTGCTTCGCCGCTTCCTGAGAACTACAACCTTTATGGACTCGGTGAAGTCATTCACGGCTTCAAGCTGAATAACAATCTCACTCGTAAGTGAACGCTGTACAGGACCAAGGTGTATCCAAGCTCACAGTAATAGGCACACTCTACGCGGCCGATGTCGGCGACCCAATCGATGGAAACATCTATGGCTCTCACCCGGTCTATCTCGATACTCGCTACTATCAAGTCGATGCCGATACCAAGGAGGCCATCTACGTTGCCAATGCCACGGACAAGAATGCCGACTACGAATCGTACACCCATGGAGTGTTCCTTCGCAACGCTCACGCCCAGGAGATTTTGCTCCGGGAGTCCAACATCACCTGGAGAGGCCTGGGAGGCACCATTGACCTCTACTTCTACGCCGGACCGACTGCTGACGCCGTTATGAAGTCCTACCAGAAGACCACTGTCGGCTTGCCCGCCATGCAGCAGTACTGGACCTTCGGCTTCCACCAGTGCAGATGGGGCTACACCAGCTGGGATAACCTTCAAGAGATTGCAGATGACTTTGCCAAGTTTGAGATTCCTCTGGAAACTCTCTGGGGTGAGCTGGTCCGTCTTAAAATCACACGATTCAGACTAACAGCTTCCAGCCGACATTGACTATATGAACCAATACCGCGATTTCGAAGATGACCAAAACTCCTGGGGCTACGAAGATGCCGCCCGCGTCCTTGGCAACCTACACAAGAACGGCCAACACTTTGTCCCCATCGTCGACTCGGCCATTTACGCCCCCAACCCAGAGAACGCCAGCGACGCCTACCCAACATACGACCGCGGCGTCGAAGCTGACGCCTTCATGCTTAACCCGGACGGGTCCCTCTACGTCGGCGCCGTCTGGCCCGGCTACACCGTATTCCCCGACTGGGTTGGCGCCATCTTTGGCCGCAGCAAGACGTTTGAGTGGTGGACCACCGAGATGGTGACCTGGTTCCAAAAGGTCGCCTTTGACGGCATCTGGATTGACATGTCCGAAGTCTCCTCCTTCTGCGTCGGAAGCTGCGGCAGTGGGAACCTCACCCTCAACCCCGTCCACCCTCCCTTCTCGCTCCCTGGCGAACCGGGCAACGAAGTCCTCCAGTACCCCGAAGGCTTCAACAAGACCAACAGCACCGAGGCCGCTTCCGTCTCCGCTCTCTCTGCGTCTCTGGCAGCCGCCCAATCCACCTCTGCAACCGCAGCAACATCGTCATCCGCCGCTCCTACAACGACATCAACAACCTCATACCTCCGCACCAAGCCCACCCCAGGCGTCCGGAACGTAAACCATCCCCCCTACGTAATCGACAACATCCAAGGCGACCTCGCCGTCCACGCCGTCTCACCCAACGCAACCCATCACGGCGGCACCCAAGAATACGACTTCCACAACCTCTTCGGTCACCAGATCCTCAACGCCACCTACAACGCCCTCCTCTCCGTCTTCCCTGGCAAGCGCCCCTTTATCATCGGCCGCTCTACTTTCGCCGGCTCCGGCAAATGGGCCGGCCACTGGGGCGGCGACAACGCCTCCCTCTGGGCCTACATGTTCTTCTCCATCCCGCAGGCTCTGTCCTTCAGCATCTTTGGCGTCCCCATGTTCGGCGTCGACACGTGCGGCTTCAACGGCAACACCGACATGGAGCTCTGCGCCCGCTGGATGCAGCTCAGCGCCTTCTTCCCATTTTACCGCAACCACAATGTCCTCGCCGCTATCCCGCAGGAGCCCTACCGCTGGTCCACTGTCGCCGAGGCCTCGCGCTCCGCCATGGCTATCCGCTACGCGCTACTGCCGTACATGTACACGGCCTTCTACAAGGCGCACACCCTCGGCGATACCGTTATGCGCGCGCTGGCGTGGGAGTTCTCCGATGAGCCCTGGCTCGCGGGCGCGGATCGGCAGTTCCTTCTCGGCCCGGCGGTCATGGTCACCCCCTGCCTTGAGCAAGGCGCTAGCACCGTTGGCGGCGTGTTCCCCGGCGTCGGCAAGGGGACCGTCTGGTATGACTGGTACAACCAGTCCGCCGTCACTGGCGTCTCGCCCGGACAGAACGTGACGATCGATGCGCCTCTGGGTCATATTCCGGTCTACCTCCGTGGTGGATACGTTATCCCGACGCAGGAGCCCGCGCTGACGACGACTGAGAGCCGGGCGAACCCTTGGGGTCTGCTGGTTGCGCTTGACGGCGAGGGTGCTGCTGCGGGCAGTCTCTATGTTGACGACGGCGAGAGCTTGGAGCAGGAGGCTACACTCACTGTAGAGGTAATGATTTCCCCCCTTCCATCACAGTTCAAACACAAAGAGGTCGAAGTAGACGTTAACATGATGAACAGCTCTCCTCCTCCGACAAGTCGCTCAAGGCCACTCCATCTGGCGAGTTCAAGGACTCGAACCCGCTCGGAAACGTCACCGTTCTGGGTGTCCAGAGCGATGTTTCTTCTGTATCTCTCAACGACATGGCCCTGGATGGAGCCAACTGGTCCTTTGACTCGTCTTCTCGCGTTCTCCATGTCACCGGTCTGCAGTCTCTGACGTCTGCTGGAGCGTGGTCGTCTTCGTGGGAGCTTACTTGGTCCTAGAGGCCTTGGGGTAAAAATAGAATACACCTCGGGCCTGGGTCTCTTTGGTGTGTTGAAGAGCATCTAGATAATTTTGTGGCGTGTAGGAGCGAATAGGCAGCGGGTGTCACTCCAAAAAGGGGTTTAACTGCACCCAAAGATGCCTGTAAATATCAAGAAGAAGCCGAAAAGAAGAAATAAGATACTCGCCCCTTTCGCAGCTTCCGCAAGATGAAATCATCTCAACGCTCAGAGGACCTAGATCTACTACATTGTTCAGTATCAAATGAAATCCAGTCGTGTGCGCTCATGGTATTCGGGACCAGCGCAAATGCAACTGCTACCCAGCGGCATTGGGTGAATGATTCGCAAGATCCCCGAATCTAGGGCAGTATTATCAATGTGAATAATGAAATTTGGTATCATTGAATACGTCATGGCCCAGCATCCGAGCAATACTGCCACGTTCAGCCAGCTATCCCCTGGTGGCCCCCAGGCCCTCGCAGACTTCACTCGACTTCGCAATACTAGTCGAAGCAGCAAAGTCGCAAGTCCAGACATGCCCCCATCACCTCTTCCGTCAAAGCCTCTTTCAGTGGCCACCACGTCCACGGTATCTCTTATTCCCGCCGCCGCGCCACCGGCCTCCACGACCACCATGTCTCCGATCTCCACCGTGCCCCCGATCATCATGCATATCCCGCTGCCTCTCCCCCCGATGAAACATCTCGCCCTCCTCCCTCTCCCCATCTTTCTTGATCTCCCCTTCCTCGCTCTCCACCTTGGCACTCGGCTTCTCCAAATCCGTCCTCCACCTCGGGTGCGCGCCATACTTGCACCCGGGACCCTCCGGGCAGAAACCGACGAGGTAATACACGCACAGCTTCCTCCTCACGTGCTTCTTGCTGCACCGCGGTCCCAGTGGACAGAAGCCCTTGTCGTAGTGCGGGCACGGCGGCAGCTTGGACTGCGGGTCAATGTGCAGATATAAACACTCCTCGCCGTTGGAGCAGTACCCGTTGCGCATGAAGAAGTTGCACTCGGGCATCTTGCGGAGGTTGTACTCGTGCAGGAACTCGCACGACTCGCCCTTTTTGCAGAGGCCGCGGAGCCAGTGCTTGCAGACCAAGGACGGCCCGCCCGTCGGGTTCGAGGAGCTGGAGGAGGCGTGGCGGTCTGGGCAGGCGGCGCCGAGGGGGCAGTGGCCCGCGAGGAAGGGCTTACATTGCGGGCGGTCTGAGGAGAGCTCGTGGCGGTAGTTTTGGCGGAGGAAGGGGGTGAAGGCGAAGGAGGTTGCTGTCGCGGCGTGGGTGAGGATGTGGTTTGTTTCTGGGCGGGGGGCGACGGCTGCCATGGTGGGTGGGTTGCTGGTGCTCCGGAGAGCTAGGGAGACGTGGGCGGGCTTTGAGGATGTGTCGCAGTTCTGGCTCGCGAGTTCTCGTGATGAGGATATTGTTTGTCGGGTTCGCGTTAGAAGTGCTCGGTCTGTCCTCTAGATTGATCGCATCGGATTGGCACTCGTTGCGTAGCAAGGGTGAAATGAAAGTGGTAGCGTTTTCTAGAGTGGATTGTTATGGAAGGGAAGGTAGAACGCGACTATAGCTTGAGGTAGGTAGTGTAGGTTGTCATTGCAGCTTCGAAAGTTTGAATAGTCAGGTTGGCCAGAAGCTTCACCTTGCGACGCCAAAGAAATTAGTCAGCACCGAGAGCTTCTGTGGGTCAGGTCACATCATGCACGACCCAGATGGAGTTACCTCGTCCTCTCTCTTTCTTCAACAACACATTACCTACCTCGGGCATACCTGTGGGAAACCATAATTCTTGCCCTGCAGGTTCAATCCCGCAGCCATGGTTCCAATTCTGCAAGTATCGGTTTCCGGAAAGACCCAAACACGAAGCAAATTGTTGCTTATCAGGGTGAGCAGCTTGTGTGCTGAGCAAGTGCAACCTTGACATGATGAAGCAACACGTGCATTTTCGAGTATCCTCTGTGACTGACTGTGAGCTTCAATCTCAGCCATTTTCCAAATCGTCAAATATAAAGCTTTCTAAAGTTGCAATTGGCAATTAGTCTCTATATAGGCGGAGAGTAAACCAGACTCTCCCCGCCTCTCAGGCCGCCTCATCGCCAGATGATCCTGCTTCAGGGCCGTCATTCTTAGGCGCACCTTCAGGTTTCTGTGCGTACCAGAAGTACTGATTCATGTAGCGATGCGCGTTTCTGTCTTTAATGGCCTTTCTGAGAGTTGCCAGCCATACCTGCCTCTCAACCGCCTCGATACCCAACGCCTCAAAAGGCTTACCGACAAAGGCTGCAGCGACACCGCTGAGTGCTTCTTGCATGTATTTGCCAACAAGACGCAAGGTAGGATCCTTTGGCCAGGTTCCAATGGGGCATTTCTTCACCTCGCATTGGATGTTCTTGAAGCCGGCTGCTTCGAGCCGGGGCTTCATGTTGCGAGCATTATGGAATTGAAGGCCAAAGAGGCTGAAGGCTTCGTTGCCCATTTCCCAGAAGCGTTTGACCGTGTCATCTTCCTGAACTGTGCCGTCGTCGCACTGTACCTCTCCGTGGAGCTCCTGAAATTCGATCCAGCCGCCGTTCTTCAAGTGCCTGCATGCGAGTTTGAGAATCATATTTGTCGAGCATTCATGAACTTTCACTTACTTGTACGAGCTGGCAATGACCTTGTCAATTTTCTTCAGCGACATTCCCATCATGCGGAAGTGGACCAGATCATAATTGTCGCCATTCAGCCAATCATCCTCAGCATCATCCACGAGGAATTTGACGTTAGGGGGAATCCACCCCGGCTGAATTGGCGACAGGTCGATGCCCAAGACTGTTGTCATAGGGAAAAGGTCGGCGACTCAAATCAAGGTTAGCACTCAGGAGCTAACTCTCGTTATCAGGAAATTATTGGCTTACCTTCGATTGCCCAAATGCCTAGAATATTTTGCTAATTGAAATGTTGCAAGAACAACCTCATCAAGGATTACGTACCAGTGCCCGTTCCAATATCGATAATCTTTTGAGGGTTATCTCCAATTGGTGCATAGAACAACTTTCCATCCTAGATCGGCACCACAACGTCAGCCTACATCTAGCATGTATGGTTCTACACGCTGCAGAAAGCACTCACGCAAAGTTCGAGATTCATCACATGCTTCATGTACTCCCGGCCCTGCTCCTCGTCATCGTTTGGCAAAGGATATCGGCCATGGCGGTAGCTATGGTAGCGACGTCCATTGTCGTACTCGTGAGAATAGACACTGGAGGTAAGAAGGCCGACTCGACGGAAGACACATCCCAGTCCACAGGGTCGAATTCGTTCTCATCCACAGGCCCCGCGGCCGCTTCGATGATGGCGGGGTGCTGAAGAGCGGGATTGGCGTTGCTCGACATGGCTCCAGATAACTGTCCGGTCCACGGGGTGTCCTCGAAGCTAATCGGCGGTAGAGAAGCAGGGGATCCCAGGCTCGAGTCAGACACCACGGAAGCTATGCTTAGCACTAATGCGCACCGTAGAGCAAATAGCACCTGGCGACTTGGCTGCGCTGTATATGGCAAACAGTGATATTTGGTGGAATTTCCGAGCTTTGGTAACCTCTAAACTCGCATGTAGCCTGGAGAAATGACGAGATTGTCAAACTTATCACCGGGGTAGAAATTGAGACCTCGGAGACTCGGAAGAGTGGGAGAGCCGGGCACGGGGTATGCTGAAGAACAACATGTGTTCTGTTGGTTCCATCTCACCCGGTTATGGCCCTGTCCCCATGTTACCGAGTGAGGAGACGCAGCAGCATCAGGCAATGCTCCAACGGACAAGAAACACTTCATTGGGTGCCGGCCGAGGTTTAGACCAAGGGGCAGCAGAGATTGGTAGGTGAGTGACCTGAAGACAGGGGGATATGCTCCGCTTTTGCAAGCCAAGCGGCACAGGATAATGTTTGTCCAGGAAAAACGAATAAAACGATGTGACAGACCGGGCCTGATGGAAGAACTGTACTGAACTGTGGGCTCCAGAGAGCCGTTTTCCGGCGAGCTGCATGGTAGCTATTATGATTTCCCGCCATGAAGGGGTTGGGAACTCTGAATGAGAGCATCGGACTGGGTTCGCGTTGATGATAGGTATGGGAGCGAAGTCGAAAGCAAGCTATGATCCGTACTGACAGCGGCCCATGCTATTGAAACGCACGACCACGGGAGAAAAAGGGCGCGAATGACTTACAGTATCTTTTGCAGCATCTAGGGCTCGTCACGGCCCTAACTCAAGATTCCCGGGGCTGAACCCCTCACGCTGGTGCCGGGAAACAAAAGACACTGGAAGAAACTTGTCAATGGGCGTTAGCTTGCAGAGAAGAAAGAGGAAACAGCGGTTGCCAAGTCTTCAGGGCACCGTAAAAGGTACGATTAGGTCAGGTGAGGTTGTCCGAGCTGGCGACAAAAGAGATCGGGGAGCATCCAACCAGATATTAGCGAAAATTTGTCGCCAGATTCGAGCCGTTGGATGACCCCTCATGTTCTTGCTGAGCCGGCCCGTCGCGGTCACGCAATCAGGAAATGCAACCTCAGAATTTAGGTTTCTACTATTCGTAGTGCCCCTGCAAAGAACACACAATGCCTGCCATCTGAAGTTGAACCGTTTTGGGAACAAATTTGATGCGGAAGGAGGCGAGAACCTGCCAGAACCTAGGTCAGGTGACTGGAAGTGTACGACAATGTACCTCAAGGTAAGGAGGAAGGTTCCTACCTTACCTTAGGTATTGAGGCATGCTGAAGAAAGAGCTCGTTACCAAGGATCTCAAGCAGGAGGGATAAAAGGCACGAACAACGCTTCCATGTTAGTCAAGTAGGGAGGACCCACCTTCTTCGGCCCTCGTTTCCTCCAAGCCCCAAAGGTTCCCAGGGTTCAAACAATTGATCCATCACGGACGGCTTAGCTCAAAATCGTTGACCCAGCGCGCAGAATGACATGCGCCTTCCTTTTTCTTCTTTCTTCTTTTCTTTCTTCTCTTGCGTTTGACCCCATCGCCGGCTCCTTTGTCCCAGACGGAGGAGAGTCCCTGCTTGCCTGATGGTTCCTCGTTGCATCCATAAGGTACCTTCAGTGTATGGAGTTTCTTTCCATCTTTTACCCAATCGCTTGGCTTGCTTCAGTTTCCAAGTATCTCCATTAGGTAACTAAGGTACCTTAAGTTGAGTAAGGCAAGGTGAGGTAGGTACCTGCCGGTCCTGCCCACCTGCCCACCTGTCCGAGAACTCGAGACAGAGATGGATCCGACCCGCGGTACTTACACCTTCCCAACTTTCTTTCCTCCGAAATCCAAACTCCAACCTCCTCCTTCCTGCAGCTGCAGGTGTGGAAAGTCACACCTTGCAGGCAGGCGGAGACAAGCCAGACCCTTGGCCTCCTTCCATATTATCTACGGAGTACTGTATCTTCAGGTTCTGGCATTTGGGACATGGAATGAAGTGTGGGAGCAAATCCAATGACCCCGCACCCTTTGCCTTTGGCCGATGAAATGTTTGCTCCAACAAAGCCGCAAATCCAACGACATCGTTTTTTCCGCACTCTTCTCTTGCTTGCTTCGGCCAAGCTCCAGTCTCCTCCGTCCCTTTTCAGACGCGATTCCAATCGATAGCTTACCTAGCTGCTTTTCGCCCTTCCTCCCGTCGCCTTTTCCCTCTCATTTCCCCTCGCAGGCAGCAGTTGTTATAGCGCGTTCCTGCCATGTTTTTCATCTGCCATGCCGCGAAATTTAGAGGCGTGCGCCTTGCCCTCGCTCTAACCAGGTCAGAATCGTCTTGGCGTCTTTTCAACCTCGAATCTCTGCCATGCTTCGCTCCGATACGGAGTAGACAGAACGCACAATACGATGCCCTCTTCAGGCCCTGACTAGAGTTTGCCCGGGGTCCATCAACTTTTGCCCCCAAAGCATCCAATGGATGAAGCCGACTACTGCGACTGACTTACATATGGAGCCCTGCCCGTATATCTTCGTACGTACAGACACCAACGACAGGGTGTTGCGTGGGCACACGGAATGCCTATGGTAGGATCACGGAACCACATCACGGATCAACGCTTGAGACCTCGATTTCACTCTTGATCGACCTGCCAGAGAGAGTACCTTATGGGCACACACAATACAGACGTCCTCCTATAGCACTGTGTCTTTCGTGGGCCCATACGACTAGGCCAGCGACGCAACTCGACAAGACACGGCCAGGGCCTCCGGACGCACATCGAAGACAGCACCTCCATGCCCGCTTCGCCGTCAAATTGTCATTGGCCCCGAATCGCACCAACAATGGGCAAACAAGACAACAATGCGCCCTCGCATATCAGTCACACCATGCAAATGTCACCTATTCATCGATACCCAACTCGGCCATCCCTCCTGCAATGACCTCATTTATCCAAATCGTCGGATTTCCCAACAGTCAGGGCCGCTTCCAATGTTCCGTCATGTGCTGCCAGCGTGGCATGCAGTCCTTCTGCACCCATCCTCCACCCCAACCCATCGACTCTGTCGGCTGTTTCCATCGTTTGGTGGGGCACATCACGCAGCCAAGCTGCTGCTACATGTCCCACTCGACGACCCCTCCCCTGCCCATCAACTCTCACAACTATGCTACTGGTCAAAATGCCCACTGAGACGGCCGTCCTGAGAGACACAATTCCAGTTTGTCGCTTGTGCTCAAACCTCGACGCAGACGCTCCCTCTGCCCAGCCCGGCTTGCTCGACGCTCAACTTCACCGCCTGAAGTTGATTCTCCTTGCGTGTCCGCGTGTGATTCACTGACCAGCCCCCGGCCTGCCGGCGCAGGAGCTGGGATCTACCCACTTCAAAAACAACAGACACCGCCGTGCCGCCCGAAGGTTTCAGTGCATATCGATTCGCCAGTCGATCCACTCTTTGCACGTCAGTGTGATGACCACTGTCTGTAATAGCTCAACTGAGTCCAAGGCGAATTCGGCCCTCGCTCATCCAGCCACGGGCAGCAACTGACCCTGGGAAATCGGGAGCGAGTACGGGATACACTCCTCGGAAACGTCGGTGGGAGCGTGGCACAGCATGCTACTTGGCCCATCGCAGGGAAGCAGGTTGTTTTAGAGTTTTGGTACACCACAGCAGAAATACCGCCTCGCTGTCTTGCCGAACGTCTTGTCGTCTTAGCCTGGCAACGCCTCGTGGATTCTCCAGGAATGCTTTCTTTTTTCCAGGCCGGTTTCCCTGCTTAGTTGCCTGCTACGAATTCGGTACTCCTTACCATGAACGCGATCAATTCTACAGCTCGAAGCCACACCCAGGGACTGGGGTGTTTTCCCCAGCCTCGGCATCTTAGCTTCAAAGGCTTCTCACCTTTAAACGAAAATCTCCCCCAGGTTACCAGAAATATCAAATGACCGAGGAATGACCACCAGGTTTCAATGTCGCTTCGTAGCTGATGGTGGCGCTTTCCAGAGCTAGTCGGAAATAACAAGCATGTCTCGAACCTGGTTCCAAGTCTTCTGCCAGTTTCATGCCGAAATTAGTCTTGCTGCGAGTGTTTATTCAAATCGCTTCTTTCCGTGGTCCGGCAACCTGATCCGCTTATGGCAATGTCAACAACGTCCGTGTGCAGGAGTCGAACGAACTTCCTATGCAACGAGGCTGGATGACCAGCCATGGAACACTCAAGATCCTCCTAGGCCGTACCTAGTTTGCCGACCAGCCCGGCGTCTGATTGCCAGAGAAACAGGTACCATAACTGCTGAGCCCATCATTGCAGCCCGCTAGACCAAAGCTCTCCCCCGCTATTGCCCTGCCGCCCTGCCGCCCTGCCGTGGGCACAACGGCGATATTCGCATTGGCGACTGAGAGTAACCACGGCAGGAATGCGGCTGTTCACCACTCTGCTCGCGCCTAAACAGTAACACACCAAGGCACGGACATGGACGTCGAGGACTTTTGGGGCGCTGGCCTGGCTTCCTAGGTACATCACAGCTAAGACCTGCATGCAAGGCCGGACGAGCGTGGAGAATCTAGCTGGAAGACGCAGAAGAAGTGGACGAACAAAGATGAGGAGGAAGAGGAAGAAGGGCCAAAGTAGCGGTGCGATGCGCAGGGATCATTCCTGTTCGCTGCAACCCTGATCGTCAACTGCCGCCAAGGGTCGGTGGTCGTGGCCGAAGGCCGGCTTCGAACTGAGGGAACAGACTCGCGCTGGTACTAACTCACAGACAGAGAGAAGAGAGAGTCAGGACGCCGACGAGCGAGCGAACTAATCAAAACAACGGCGCCAGTGGCCGGGCATGGCCGCCCTACTATTACGATGCCTTGCAATTTTGGCTTTGGCAGCCATCTTCTCATCCTTCTCCGCCTCTTCGTCTCTGGTACATGGACGTTTCTCCCACTCGTCCAGATCTCTCATATATGACTTGACAAAAAGTCTCAACACCATCCATCCCCCTGCAAGCGCAAATGCATCCAAGTACGCACTCCCTTCGCACCCCCCATGATCCATCCTTCACCCCCAACCCAATTATGTCATGCATCATGGCTTCAAAGTATCCTGGACCCTCTTGTAATTTTGATACCCGTCCCTTCGTCTCCACCGCCTCGGACAAGGCCTTATACTACCTTGCCTGTCCCGCGTTCGCTCACCGTCGCATTTGGCTTGTCACTCCCGTGCTGCGGTGTCTAGCCAGATATATAGACACTTCTCCATGCTGTTTGGAGCCACAGAGGTTCGCGCTTGCTGCCTGACCGAACAGCTCATTGCTCAAACATGCAGCTTTGGGTCCAAGTCCTTTTCTTCATATACTGTCCTTACTACCGTTCCCTTGTCACATTGACTGTCAGAGTTGCTTTTCTTTCCGACTTTTCGAACCCTGCCTCTCTTTCTTGAACGGTCTTATGGCAACCAGAGTCAAGATGAGTTCTTCATCGTCTTCGCGCAAGTCGCGCAGAACGACTAGCATCTCCAACGTCATGTACACCAACGCGGTCTACTTCCCCAACGAACGGATATACCAGGGCGACACGCCCGGCGCCATGAACTATGGCTGCATCAACCATGTGTATTACGCCTTTGCAAATATCTCGCCTGATGGGGGTGTTTTTGTGAGTATACCCAAATCCGCTGGCTGTATAGATTGACTAACCAAACCTTCGATAAGCTGAGCGACGAGTGGGCCGATGCCCGCGCACCAGTCGATGGCGTCCAGGGCGGCCTAGGGTCTCTCATGCACCTCAAGCAGAAGCATCCCCATTTGCAAGTTATTCTGTCCATCGGGGGCGGCAACTCCAGTGCCGTGTTCCCCGTGATAGCTGCGAATACACTCTACAGAGACAACTTTGCCAGGTCTGCGAGAGGCCTGGTCGACGCGTCGGGCTTAGATGGCATTGATAGTGAGTTTGCTCGATTCTGTTTGCCTCTGCATTAGTGGACTGTTAGCTCACATCGTCGATCAGTTATGTGGGAGTATCCTTGTGATTCCCAGCAGGGCCACCATTTCCTCGCTCTGTTGGCGGCTGTTCGCCTTCATATGCCCGAAAGTCATTATCTCCTTACTGCTGCGCTACCTGCCAGCCGAGCGATCTTGCAATACATCGATCTGCAACGAACGGCCGACTACGTCGACTACCTCAATCTCATGGCGTACGACTTCGCCGGCACATGGACACACAGAAGCGGCCATCACGCGCAATTGTATGCAATGAGCAAGGACGAAACTTCGGGCGCCTCGACTGTGCAGTATCTGGTCTCGCAAGGCTTTCCCTCGCAAAAGATCCTCCTCGGCATTCCCCTTTACGGTCGCAGCTTCCTTCATGCCACTGGGCCAGGGCAGAAATTCAAGGGAAGTGGCGGGAGCAATGGGACATTCGAGTACAACCAACTTCCCCGTCGAGGGACGAAGGAGGTCATTGACAAGAAGTCTATCGGCGCCCAATGCGTCGGAGCTGATGGCGGCTTCGTCACTTACGATAACCCCGACACGGTGAAGATGAAGGCTGCATTTTGCAAACAGAAGAGCCTAGGAGTATGTTTTGCCCCTATGGTACCATGGAATGATACATGTGCTAATGATTTGCTAGGGACTATTCTACTGGAGCGGACCAGCAGACGCAAAGGAGAGCTCACGGAGTCTCATAGCCACCGGATTCAGAGCTCTGCATAGTTCCTGACGGGCTAATTTCCCTCAGAATGGACCACCTAGAGTGCGTCCAAGACATTCAACAACAGTCCGCCGACACGTGTCGGCAAACCTCGGCCTCACGGGCCGGAAGGCAGTGACAGACAGACGATAATCGCATTTGCGCGGAGTAAGGGGATCGACAGCATCTGACAAGGGGGGCGACATGGCGTTCTTTTTTCTTTCAATTTGGCGACTTGCATCACGGACTTTTATTTTCATTCGATTTTCGACATTTGCTCAGATTTTACGAATGATTTCCCTTTGGACCTTTTGATCGACGCATCACCAGGCGGCGGCGGCATGACTGGATTTTGGGGGCGGGGAAAGGACACTTAAAATTTGGGGCGGCTGATAATATCCCACGCGTGGACCAGGGGTGGTGGTGTAGCTGACTTTGCATGGCATCATATGGCTTCTCACGGTTTCTCTACACTCACGACGGTTTTGCATCATGACTCATATTATAGAAGAGAGCGAGACGAGGAGGAGATGGCATTGGGCGGGATATCTATCTGGTGGATGGGGAACAATTTGTATTTCTTGGTAGGCGTCTGGGCGCGTGGGACGCCGTTGACTCGCGTGGGCGGCTCTGTCTCTCAGTCTCTCACGTCTCTTTTGCAACGAGAGCCGGAGGCCCGGAGCAAATACAATGGAGCATACAAAGACCTTTTTCTTCTTTTTTGGTTCAGAACTTCTGCCCCTCCTTTCACCATCGTGAGATTTTTTGTGCGTGGTGGGCTGTGGGTTGCAGTGCTGCAGTATTGCACCCACGCACGGCATTGTAGCAGTGGGCGGTCCTCCATGGAGGGGTCATTGAGGGGCACCGAGGAGGGGAGGGTCCCCCTCGGATGGGCCAAGAGGGTAGTGGAGTGGAGGGTTTTGATGTGAGGTGTGTGTGTGTGGGTAATCGTTTTCTCTGCGGGCTACCTTTTGCGTGGGTGTGTGAGTGAGGCAACCCACGCAGATCGGCGCGGGGCAATGATATTCATACGGTACACTCTGTTGCGATGCCTCCAAGTGGGAATGGGAGAAGTTGCTCCAAGTGGAAAATGGAAGGGCACAAGGGATACGATACCCATACCAGTTGTAGGGGTTGGATGGATCATGGATGGAGGGGGGGGGGGGCAGCAGGGCAGCAGGGCAGACTTCGCAAAGGAAACAGCCGGGGTGGGGAAAGCCCGCTGGATCGGAGCCCACTCCGAGATACGGGAGGCGGAAGCGATTCGGTAAGCCGTGCTGGGCTGCGCGACCGCAGGCAATACCGTTACCGTACCGGGTGAGGTGAGAGGGAGTGTGCAAGGGCCAATCCAGGGTTTCTCGTTTGTCGATCAACAACCGGGGTATTGTAGTGTACGGGATGTGTGTGACTGTGGCGGTTGACAGAGCCATTGCTATTCTGGAGTTTAAGCGTGGGTTTCGCTGTTATGGAACTGGAGGATGCTGGCAAGCTGGGTATGGTACCGTATGCGATGTACGTTAGGGTGGGGGGACTACCGTGCAGGTATATCCAATGGAGGGTTGTGGTGGTGGGATGGAGAACTATGCAGGTCGACCGATTCGGAATGTGATTCCATCATTGTCAGCCCGTTCGTCGTGCCCGTTTCTGCGACCTCTTGTTGTTACGGGCGTTGAAAGAACGGTCGCTCTCTTTTTTGAGATGCAGTATGTTGCTAGCTAAGGTAGTTAGTAAGGGTTTTACTCTTTTGGGATCTTTCGTATTCATTCCACGTAACATCCAAGTACAGAGTTCCGAAGTTGAGTGAAGTATTCTGATACCGAAAGACGAATGTGAACCAAGTAAAAAGTGGGTGGTGTGTCTGAGCTGGGAATTCTTCGGTATTTCTTGATCCTGACTTCATGTGGCTTTTTTTTTTCTGTTTTTACCACACACACACACCCCTGGCCTCGTTGTTGGCCTAGCTTAGCTTGCTGTCACAGATGGCTGTTGTTCTGTTCTAATTGATTCAGCTGTGTTGGTTCGACATGATTCTGGATGGGAATTAGATCAATCGTATTTTTCCTGCACATTTAGGACAACTATGTAGGAGAGAGTCATGGTCCTGCATATGAGGCGCGCATCAACACTTCCTCATTCGACGGGATGTCAAGAGAGCCCTGCTGTGCTGTAGGATGTGTTGGGATGTTAAAATGCGTGCGCATGCCTGTCTTTCGCGGTGATGAATCTGCAATTCCCATTCGGGATCGCCCAAATGGGGTTAAATGTGAGAGGCTGGATTTGGGGGAAGAAGAGGGGTGTGGGCGTCGAGTGGTATCCAATGGGAGAATGCAAGCCAGGCTGCTCTGTCGATCGGAAATACGGGACATTGATAAGATTGGTTGCTATTCGGGGGATTTCTGTTCCAAGTTTTCGTCTTGTTTTCGTCCTTCTGTCCCATTTTGCCCGTAAGGATGGATGGTGCGCTTATTCTCCTTGCCCGATTGAGAACGTCGACCAAGGAGGTATGCGTTGTACCTTACCATGTGTAGTCGCCGCCAAGGTCGCAACCAGAGGTTGGGTTACAACACATTAGAGGAGAAAGATCCATCAGTATTTTCTCAAAAAAGTGACATATCCTAATGCTGTTCCAACGCAACAACGCAACAGCTGAATCCTGACCAGAGACACACCATGGTGGGTGATACAAAGACTGCGGGCTGCTGGATCGGGATGGTGTGTAATGGCTTGACAGGGGGGGATGGTTCACTTTCAAGTTCGGATTTTGGGTGCACAGCAGGCTCCGGATGGGATTCTTGGAAACGAGGAGGAGGGGGGGGAGGGGGAGTAGAGATGACGGCAGAAAGTGGGTGTGCTGCACACGTGGGTTCACATCACGGGAATAGGTACGGGGTCGTGCTGAACCAGACAGCCCACGGTCGATGACGGTGATTCTCGCCTAGTGAGTTAATGGTTCCGAATAACATGAGTGTCGGTGAAGGGATGAGGTGAGATGAGGTGAGATTCCTCGACGAGAATCAATGTTGCGGTGTGTTTTGCGTTCTGGATCATGGTTCATGTCCAGAGTTGTGGTGTGGTGTACAGTATCGGGGATGGAGTAGTCGGGACGCTGGGGCACCTGGGTGTCGGTGTGTGCTAATTAGTGTGCCTCGTGGGACAAGTTGTTCGTGGCTCGGTTTCTGCTCTTAGTCACGGCTACCATCTTCAGAGGTGCTTCTAGCCTTTTGGGCTGGTCCCAGGCGCAATCGTCTTACGTGCTAGTTCGTCGATGGCGTCGTATTAGGTCCAGGGGGATTGAGGAGCCGTGACGACGACAGTGTGTTTGAGGCCCGATATAGCAATCGGGCTCTGACGCGCGCCTCCGCCCAGGAAACTTGATCAAAGGACGCCTCGTTTTTGTCCGTCGTGCTTTTCAGGCCCGTCAGCCCGTCCTGCCCAGGATAGCTTCCTTCAGCTCCTGACGCTCGTCTTCTACGCGAGGCTGCCTGGCTCCTCATTAGCCTCGACGAAAGCCACGCCTTGAATTCATCAAGGGTATGGAAGGCACCCAGCATGCCAGCCTAGCACAAGAGCGGGAAGCCGATGCGGTGCACTGACTCGAGAGAAGGCGGGTTAAGCTAGATGGCCTCGATTGTGTTTTGCTTTTTTCCACGTGGGAGAAGGGCGGGCCGCCTTGGTCTGGCAGCGGTGCAGAATCTCTGGTTTCTGTTTTCTTCCCGAGATGCGACGGCGCCGTGTTGGAGAATGAACGGCGCGCTTTTTTGGTTTGGTAGTATCGTGGTAGAAGTGGAGAGCGTCCTTCATGGCCGCCCGGCAGGCAAAGTGCGGTGTATTGTAGAAAGTGGTTGAGTGGGCATCTTTGGACGTCGGGCGTTGGCCGCCCCGGCCGATTGCGGGATGGCGGGGATGAGGGATGAGAGGAGGGGGCAGACCGCAGGATCTACGGTGCTTCTCGGGGTTACGAGGGTATGAGAGACCCAAGAAAGAATAGGAGGGGGGGGGGGTGGGAGGGGCGGATTTGCCCAGATTTACATGACTCGGTTATCGGGGTTGAGCCTTGACGGGATGATGTGCTTTTTGCTGAAGAATTCCTCGGGAAGACCAACCCGGAATGCTTAAAACGACGTATGCGTGACGGGGACGTGGCAGGTGAAATGGCAGGTGACAATAATGGGGCGATATAGGACAGGGGAAATGCTGACCTGCGGCACAATGGAACCTGTTGGAGCAACAAGTCCATTGTCAGATGTGAGGAGCTGGATGCCTGCAACAAAGGTAAGTAGTGCTTGTTTCCATGTTTGCGCCAGCTTGCAAGCAAGCCTGAAAGTGCAGTGAAAGGCCTCGTGACCGAGGTACTTGGTGCTGACTGCTATGTCATCTGTTTCCAGGCTTCCGTTCACCTCCGGAGTGACGACAACAGGAGGGTCGGATCGGAAAGATCGGAGGTCACGGGGGCGGCGGGGATGTTGGTTTATGCCGAGCAGAACCGGGCGTGGGGGCCTTTCTCGAAGATAACGGGAGGCTGGGCTGCTCGGTCTCGGAAGACACGCTTGCCGCAAAGACCGAGATGGTGTCGAAATGAGACGGAGAGCATGTGAACGTCGCGCCCTGACAGAGTTCTGACAAGTCAGACAAATGTGTTCGTCACCGGTCGTTCTAGGCTGGTGCCATAAGCGGCCGCTTGAGCGGGTGTTCCCAAACATTCTTCCTGGCTGACAACTCTAGCCAGGCGACAAAGTTGACGTTGAATGGGTGGTGGTGTCCGACTGTCATCCGTCGTCTGATGTTGGCCGTCTTGGTTGGTCAGTTATCAGATCGAGACATCCCTGAAATGGTGGGCAGAAACTTTGACTATCGGAACATGCGTTGGTCCGTTGTTTCGAGGTCCGTGGCTTGAGTCGGGATATCCAAGGACCAAACAGTACGGCAAATGATGAGCCGCGTTATCTTCTGGCTGTGGCCTCCAACCGATTTGTATGGCAAGGAAGGGGTGTTGTGATTCATTGTCTTTGATATGGGCTACTCATGCGAATCGAGAGTGATACGACACGAGCCTTTGCGAGTGGCTGGAGAATTCCAATGTGTTGGCAAAGTAGCACCCCACCTCCCAGGACCCCCAACCATGGCATGAGTCGGAAGACATGGCTCACCCCAGCCTATGGGTTGTGGTGTTGCTTCCAGCAATGCGGATTTCAGTCGACAGAGTTCCAGTTGCCCTTTGTCATGGTGACATGAAGGTACATGCAATAGATTCGACATGGATTGCAGGATGTATCCGAGAACTTCGTGCCGATATTGGCTTCCGAGTCTTCAGCCACTAGAACTACGGAAAGCATCTGTTGAAGGCGTTTCCTCAAGCCGAACCTAATCCATAAGAGTTGATCTGGAATGAGGATAAGCCCTTAGCCAAATTCTTCGACGTGGCAACGAAATAGTGCGGATGAGTATCGATGTAGTTGAGATGAGCTTGATGCACTCTGAAAAAGTTGTGCAACTGCCTCCTCGGTCAAGCCAACGCAATGACCCGCTTGAAGGTGGTTCAATATACCGTCTGGCGAGATACCGTATCGCAGAAAGCTCTAGAAACATATCAATCCGCGAATTTGATGTGTTCCTGAGGGCTGGACTTGTGGTTTATGTGGAGAAATTCGTCGTACGCCGAGTTTATTGTGGATGAATGTTCCGTGGTCGTTTGCTTTAACTGCGTGCAGCCCAGGGCCTGTCGTTCTTGAAACGACGTGGAGGTAGCGAGGAGGAGACTTCAACTGAATGCGTAGTAATTCGTTCATCTGTCTTGTATAGCAAGCATTGCACACTCATCGCCAAAGAGGCGGTGCACAAAAAGCAAGACGGAGAAACCTCCTGGGTCAGAGATTGTGAGCGGAAGTGTGCGTGATGCAGAAGTGAAGAAGAGAAGTTGCTGCAGCCAGGACTCCAGGGGCAGTGGCCGATATTATCCCAATATGATTGCACAGTCAGGTACTAACTTCTAAGGCAGGCATCATGCAAGGGGTAAGGGAGGAGCGATCCATAACTACCCGAACTTGGTCCTTTCCGTATCAGAACGTCGTCTTAAGGTTTTGCTTGAAGAAGGAAAGAAAATCCGACCTTTCTTTCCCCAGACTTTTTCGAGGTGGGACGATCCATCAAAAAAAGGGACGGCACAGCATCAGGCGCCTGCCGCCTGCTTCCAGAACCCGAGGAGCTTCTCGGAGCCCATTCCGATTGGTCGCGGCAGGTCCCGTCGCAGATCCCCCCTGCGTTCCGTCTTAACACGTGACGCCATCTCGACTCGGAGCTCCCAAGACACGCAGCTCAACTCTTCAGGGAATCTGACACATGCAGCGACCTGTTCCGTCCAATCCCGCCAGATCACCATCTCCCAACGCAGACCAAGTCTACACGAGTTTCCAACATGAACGGGACATCAATTAGCGGGAAAACATCACTCGATGCCGGTACGAATTCCATTCCCGCTCTCGCTAGGCGCAGCTCATATCTGACCCTGAGGCAGCCGACTACGATCCTATCGACCACCTAAACCACCTCTTTCCACATCCCTCAACCGTAACCTCAATCAGCCGCGTTTCCGATACACTACAGACTCATAAGAATGATCTCGCCGTCGAAATTTCCAGCCTCGAGGTTGCTCAGGCCTATGGTCCCGATTCGAGCCTCGAGCGCATGCAGTCCGCCCAAGCCGAACTCGCCCAGCTCTTCCGCAAGATCGAGACCGTGCGATCCCGGGCAATCCAGACCGAGCAAAACATTACTTCCATGACGGCCGATATAAAACGATTAGATGGCACGAAACGGAACCTCACACTGAGCATGACCGCTCTGAAACGGCTGCAGATGTTGACGACGGCATACGAACAGCTGAGAGGCTTGGCCAAGACGAGGCAATACCGGGACTGCGCGAGCCTGCTGCAAGCTGTGTTACAGCTTATGAAGCACTTCAACAGCTACCGGAGCATTGAACAGATCGCCACGCTGAGCAGAGGCGTCTCGGAACTGCAGCGGGAATTGTTGGAGCAGGTCTGCGAAGATTTTGAGATTGCATTCGCCAAGGGAGAGGTCGCACAGCGCAGGGGTACACTGGTAGAGGCCTGTCTGGTCATGGATGCCTTGGGCGACATGGCTCGGACGCGATTGATGAACTGGTACGTCAATACGGAATTGCGCGAGTACCGCCAGGTGTTTAGGGGCAACGACGAGGCCGGGAACCTGGACAACATTGGCCGCAGGTATGCGTGGTTCAAACGCATGCTCAAGACTCACGAGGATGAGCACGCCGTAATCTTCCCGCCCCATTGGCGCGCGAACGAATTACTGGCCATGGCTTTCTGCGACGGCACTCGAGACGACTTCAAGGGCATCCTCGAAAGAAGCATGCGCAAGACGGATGGGCAGAAGATCGACGTCAACCTTCTCCTGAGCTGCTTGCAGGAGACTTTGGACTTTGAGCATGGCCTAGAGAGGCGATTTGCCAACGAACCGCGCGCCAGCATCGACACCCTGAGCTCATCTGATGACAGAGCATCAAATTTCCATGGTTCGATATCAACTGCTTTCGAGCCATATTTGAGCTTGTGGGTGGAGTCGCAAGACAAGCAGCTTGCTGCAATGATACCAAAATACCGAAACCAGCCTCTGCTTCCGGAAGACGAAGAATTCTCTACGCAAGCCGTCATTTCCTCAGCCATTGAACTGTTCCACTTCTACAAACTCACATTATCACAATGCGCCAAATTGTCTACGAGTGACAGATTATTGGACCTTTCCAAAACGCTGGCAAAGTACCTCGACGAATACGCACAGCAAGTTCTTCTGCACATCCTGCAAAGGGCTGGACCTCAAGGGCCGCCAATTCAAGACGTCATTATGGTCTTGAACACGGCAGATTTTTGGTCTACGAATACCACCCAGTTAGAGGAAAACATCAAAAAGCGTATCGATAATGAGCTTGTTAGAAAAGTTGACCTGTCATCACAGGCCGACGCCTTTCTTGGTGTGGCCAGCGCTGCTGTGCTGACGTTGGTACGTAACGTTGAGATCGCCTGCGAAGGATCTTGGCGTGAGATGCGTAACACAGGTTGGAGCACCATGGAGACTGTGGGCGATCAAAGCTCATATGTTGGTGAGCTTCTATCTTCCGTGAACGGCAAAGCCGAGGAGATACTGGGCCTTCTGGTCAAACAGCAATACGCCAGAGCATTTTGCGATAACCTGGTGGACCATCTCGTGAACGCCTACATTAGCAACATTGTACAATGCCGCCCAGTTTCCGAGGTTGGCGCTGAACAGGTACGGGCACACCACATACAAGCCCCCATGCATATACTGACGCCCCTCTAGATGTTGCTTGACAAGTATGTTTTGACGAAAGCGTTCGAAAATCTCCTGTCATATCACAACAAGTCTTCGTCAACACCACACGCGGCTCCAGCGGGCTATATCAAGCGAGTGAACCAGACAATGAACCGCATAGACCCTCTCCTCAAGACGCTTCAAGTCCGCCCTTCGCCGCCAGAGGGCTTGGTCCAAGCATACCTGATCCACATTGCCGATCGCTCCGATACCAACTTTAGAAAGATTCTCGACCTCAAGGGCGTTCGCAAAGCCGATCAGGGCCACCTTGTGGAACTGTTCGGCATCCACCGCGAGGGCAACCTTAGTGACAAGCTTGTCCAGCAATCTCCGCTGCTCACGCCGTTAATGGCGACCACGGGACTCGGCAGCTCGGGTCTTGGGGCCATCAACGCGAGCACCGCTCTCACGAGCGCCAGCAGCGCCATGCCTGGGTTGCCGAGCAAGTTTGACGCCACCTCGTTGGGCGAGAAGCTTCTGAGCGCGGCGAGGGACCTGGGGCAGGGAACGGGTCCAGGCGGCATCGCGGGCACGGAGAAGGCGACCATGAATGAGAACCTCAAGAACTTTGGCAAATTCTTCCGTAGAGATATCGGAGGGTTTGGTGCGAGGTTTGGGAAGAGGGACGATAGTGCTGACGGTCAGCGGTGATGTGATTCAGGGTCAACGGATGAGCAAGCATAGTCGGATAGACGGTTGAATAGAATGGTTCCAACTGCCACAGCCACTCTACAGTCCTCTTCATCGTGTCATTGACTCCCTGTCTTGGAGTAGACATCCCACTCTCATCATCACAACAACTCATTTCATCCGTTCCTTCCTACCCCCTCCCTCTCAATTGCCCTCAATCAACCCACCCACCTCGTATGATTACCCCCCAACCTCAAGCAGCCGCTTCAGACAACTCTCAAGGCAACGATGATTAATGCCATCGACTCCCTTGGCACCTAGAGAAGCCACTGCGCTCTGGGGTTCGCCCAATGAACTAACGTCTCTTTGTCTCAATATATCACCCATAGCCTGTTACCTACAAACGTCACCTCTTCCGTCACGCACGCTCATTGTGCAAACATTGTCGACGAATATGAGCGGGCGGGTAGGCAATGGTCCATCCTAGATTATCCTATCCGGTCTTTCCTTAGGTAGCCCTGAAAGCATAAGGCCGCTCATCTCCTCATCTTAAGTTCGTCTCCAGTCTACTAGACCATTCTCAATATAAGAACACCTGACCTCACGCAGCCGTTTTAAATGACTCCCAAGGTGATTAATGCCATTTACCCCCTCGACATCTGAGCTTGTTCTTGCAGAAGGGTTTGGAAGTCACTATGCCCCGATAGATAGAAGTCTCTTTGTCTCGACATGTGGCCCAAGGTCTATCATACATCAACGCCCCTTGTTCTCCGTGACGTACGTTGATCGTGCAAACATCGTTGACGAATACGAGCGAGCGGGCGGGCGGGCAATGGTCCAGACAGTGGACGGTCTTGATGATAATGATCTCCTACTCTGATGAGCCCTCTTTTCTCGAACTCCTCAATAGGAATTCAATTCCGGCAGTGCCATGTCGGGCGCGTCGTCTGGTGATAAGAGATCTCTTTCTGATTGCTTGCGTCCCGTCTCTCATGATTACGAGGCAGTTGGGTACGACTGTTGACTATACCACACCGTTTACCGATGGCTCGCACAAGGCTGTCGGCCCTTTACCCTTCTCCTGTTGGTTTTGAATCTACTAGACCTACCTGGACTGATATAAATACCGCCCAACCTCACGCAAGCATTCAAAGAGTTCCCAAGGCAAACCGATGATTAATGCCATCGACTCCTTTGGTCAAGCCTTGTGATTCCATGTCCTGTCTGGCCGAAAGTGAGAATTTTCCATCTTCATGTCGCTGTTCCTGGAGATAATTCCAGCGACAACCATCACTTTATCGCAATATAGCCACCGTCATCTTTCACGCACGTTCGTCATTTCAGCAATCGTAGACGAATACGAGCGGGGATATAAAGCGTAGTGGATGGGGATCTCGAGTTTGACAAGTAATGATAGAAAGCACGATAAACAGGGACGCAAAGCGTAACGAGCGGGGATATTAATGATAACGGATGGGAACACAAAGCGTGACGAGTAGAAATACAAAGCATGATGATCGGAAACATGAAACGTGACGAACGGGGACAGAAAGTATGACAAACGGGTATACAAACTATGAAAACCAGGGATATAGAACCTGATATAAGGAACAGGGATGTAAAGAGTGATGAACGGGCATATAAAGTATGATAAACGGTCGTGGTTCCTTCAAGCAAGTCACTTCTATTATCTTTATATCAAAATGCCTCTCTCATACTCGATCCCGCAGGTTCGTCATCTCAATCACTATTCACAACTACGAGCGGAGACAAAAGGGCGTGATGAACGGCACAGTCTTCATCAAAGTTTTCCAACTCCTGTGCCCAATTGCTGTGCATGGGCAAACCAGGAGCGACTCATGAGAGATGCAGAGAGAAGAGCTTTTGAAAGGCCCACTTCCTAAAGAGCAGCTACCCTTCCCTAGGAACCAGCTTACCATGTCCTTGCAAGGAGTAGGTACTCAAGAACGCCTCCTAGAGGAACGGCGCCTTTGAGAGATGACCCAACTCATCATCAACCCATTCGGGAACGAGCGAGAGGGAACGGGGGCAGTGGGAAATAGCCGTAATGAAACGAACCACAGGAGGCCAAACTTCCTCCTGACACAGTTGACACATAAATGATCACAAGGGGGCTGAGACTTGAAGAGTAATGTGAGAGAAGGGGTGTAGTGAGCCGCAGGCCCAACCACGACACAACATTGAATTACTACCATGATTATATACGCTTAATCCAACGAGTAGCGATACGGATGATGTCTTTTCCTTTGGATGGATGCGAGTGGAGTTCGTCAATCATAGGCCTTTTTTTTTTCCCTTGGAGCTGAATCTCAGTTTCGCTCGCTGACACGAGCTAGATGGCTTGTCATAGATCCATCGCCGAGGTGCAATCCTTGGCAGCGCAGGGTCGTTAGAGCCGACCAAAATCATCAACCGGTTGGGCTCGTTGGCTCCCGTGTCTGGCCAAGCATCCTGCATAGGGGCTTTTTTCATGGATTCTTTCAACATCCACTGCGAATGCACGTTCCAATGCGATGCAAAAACCCCTCAGCCAAAAACCAAGTCCTTCTAAGACGACTTCCACACGTTGCTATCCAACTTCTCATCAGGCACAGCAATAAAGTCCTGGCCCTCGTCATTGTCGCTGCCGTCGAGCGACCCATCATAAGAGCTCGTCTGCCACGCCGAAAGCTCGTCAACACGGCGGATGCCCATCATCCACGAGACGAGACCGCGGGGCACCCAGCGGCCGACAAAGCCGTAGACGCTGGCGCCGAGGCCGACGCGGACGGTGCCGCTGGTGATGGACCCGTCAATGACGTCAAAGACTGCGTTGTGGAGGTGGCGGAGGGAGCTGCCCTTCAGGCCGCGGATGCGGCCGGCCGAGATGGCCGAGGTGCTCTGCATGACAAAGTTGCGTCCGTAGGCGTGGCGGGCGTTCTCGGGCCACATGAGGGTCTCTGTGGCGTTGGCGTCGATGCCGGGTCCGCCTTCGAGGAGACCTCTCTGGGAGGGGTGGGTGTGCTTGGCGGGTTGGAAGCCGGTAAAGTCGAAGGTGCCCAGCTGCATGTGGGTGACGGGGATGCCGAGGGGTCGCAGTTCTGCCGTCAAGACCTCGGTGAAGGCTGATAGGGCGGAGGAGACTGTTGCTTCGGGGGCGTGGAATGGGGGGTTGATGGAGGAGATGATGGACGGCGTGAAGACGAGAACCTTTGGCGGCGTCCACTTCTCTCCGGGCGGGCTTAGGCGAGTTGTCAAGAGCGGCAGGAAGGCCTGGATGGTCAGGATGGGGTGGAGAAGGTGGGTGTTGAAGAGGTCTGCGAAGCTGGAGGGCGGGATAGTGGCGATGGGTGACGTTTGGTAGTTGAGCGACGGGATAAGGATGACGGACTTGAGCTGCAGATGGTTGGGCCTCGTCCGCGGTACTGGGGCGTGTGGTGATTGGAGGTACTGCGCGAAGCTGTCGATGGCGGCGCCAGCTCTGGGAGGCTACGATATACGTCAGTAAAGGCCTAGAGTGTCTACTACCTCTACTCACATCCGTTGTGTCAATGGTCAAAGGCAGAATATCGGGCCTTGCCAAGCTGTGCACCATGCTCTCGTCCTCCTCTGCGTTGCAGACGATATAAACAATGAATCCTCTCCGCTCGAAGTCGAGTGACAGCGACCTTGTCAAGGGTAGTGTCGGTGAGCCAGCGATAACGACAACCTCGAGACGGCCGCCGTTCCTAGCCCGTTCCGCCCGGCGCGTCTTCTTGCAGAACCTGCTACTCCTGTATGATCGGTATGCCACAACTCCCACGACGGCGACGATGGCACCGGTCAACAGCTTGTGTTCCTCCACCCAACCGTGCAGCCTCTCATACCGGCTCATAGCTATCACCTCGATAGGAATGTGGCGGACGGGGGGCTTCGGCCGCACTGAGTCGGGCAGCCATTCTGAGGAGGAGAGCGTCTCTCGTACAGCCTGTGCAGCCTTATCGACAGTAGGGTTGATGAGGTTGGCGAGGTCGTCGGAGTAGCCCCGGATCTTGTTGGGCAGCGAGGACAGCTGTGGGAGGAAAGCGGCGGTGTCAGTAGAGCTCTCGTGATCACAAGCTTGGAGGTGTTGGTGTGGGGGCGGATGATGCTTACAACGTCCAAGAACTGCTGGTCGTCCGCGGACATTTTGTCGGTTTCAACCAGTTATCAAGCCGAGAAAATACCGCTGAAGAGGGAGTGTTGAAAGCTCCAGATCTTTGACGTCCAACAGCTTCTGGGGAGATGGGGTCAGGCAGCTCGACTCTCTCAAGACGAGGTAAGGTAGGTCAGAAAGTGGACTCGCGTCGGCGGCAAAGAAAAAAAGGTCAGCGACAGACCACAGAGAGGCAAAGCACTCGAGACCAGCGCAGCAGTGCAGCTTCTTTCCACCCAAAAACGACGTGGGGAAAAGCCTCCGCCGCGTGTGGATCCACCCGTTGGCGTTTCACTGGCTGCAGCAGCACCGAAGGGTCCGGGCTTGATCCGGCCGCCAGCGGTGATTGGTCGACGACATCGCCGAGCCCACCCGCTATCGACCGGTACTGTGTACGTACCTCGAGCTTTGTTTTGTTTCCCGCCGGCTTGCAACGTCACTGCCGATGCCGTCCACACCGGTGCATGAAATCCCATTTCAATATCAATACCCATCTTCAAGCAAAACCCCCTTTTACGTCCCTTTCCACACCGATGTTAGTCGTCGGGGCATAACAACGACACAGCCCCTCACTTGCACTGAGAAGATCAATTCACGGTCGCAATACCTGTAAGACTTTGTACTAACTTCAGTTATGCATTCATCATTTGCTTCATATATCCGTCTCACCACTAATTAAAGCTCGGTGCTCGCCAACTTGATTTAGTCAATCAAGTGATACGAAGCTCACGAACTAACACATTCCTCCCCATGAGCCCAGATATAACCGACTCTTAGAACACAAGACCCTTGGTCTGCTTCATCTCCTTCAAGTTGTAGTTCTTAATCATGAAGATAGCAATAAAGCCAAATACCATTACCGAAGTTCCAGCCGCAAGCATTCGCGTCTGAGCATATCCGTATGCGTTTTGGATAGCAAGTC